CACCGCAAGACGGCTCGAAAGCATCGAATATTAGATCTATATATGATCTTAACTTCAATTTTGCACATGGATTCTTCATGCCCTGTCACTAAGAAGGCCCTAATCAACACCGGTTACATCCGGTTATGTTATATACTTCCTTTTTGGGCGTGGTTCTTCACTTCCGGACACGGCCTTGTCATAGCAGTTGTCACACTTGGTGCAGACCTTGCCCAAAACTTCTGGACATGGCACTGTTTGTGATACCCATGTGCCCACTGCACTTCAAATCCTTTCATATTACCACTCCAGAAGCCCAAGAGGCCAGTGAAACTCCGGGCTACAGCCCTGAGCTTACCAGTCAGACTGGTGCAATCTCACATGCTTTGCATCGGCTGAAAACACCACAAACCGCAGACCTGGGCTTCGCACCCACAAGCCTGGCCCCCTGGTGGGATGGGAGGTCACATCCACGTGGCTGGCCACGCAACACCTGTGGCCAACGATGGATTTCTGGTTGGTCAAACGTTTGAGATGCTTCACTTTTATAGCCCTAAGTGGACACTCAGTTAGGGATGGCTTCACTAAAACCCTTTCTGGCCTGTTTACTGCAACAGGGTACACCACAATAGATCGTACGGGGACAAATAACAGCATGCTTCTAAAACACTTTCTCCCTTTGTACCATCTTTTTACACGACTTGGCCTACCCATTACATTTTGGATCTACTGTAACACTAAGCCATCCAGACAACTATGAGTGGGCAGCCTCAGAAAGTGTCCCCATCTAGTCACAAATGTGGGTGTGCTTGAGGAAAGTTCAGCCCTTGAACTCAAACGCTTCTTTCATACAAGGTCAAAGGACAGCAAAAACTCATAAGCAACACCCACTAGGCAATTCTCCCAATCAGGGCCATATCAATTTTGATATTCAGATATGATTCAGATATGATATGTATCTTTGACTATCCAAAAACACATGCCTGGTCCTGATTTTAAGATTCGTCGCCTCGCACAGGAGACATCCCGCAAGATCAAAGGAAAGGCCGGGCTCTCAAAGTCCAAACCATGTTGAAAAGCGCTCACCTCGGGTCGGACGCAGCAAGTGTAGGTGTCTTGGTCTGTCCTGTCCACCCGAATTGAGGTTGTCTTCACCACCAACACCGACACCGCCACGTCGTGTCCTTGGTGGTGGATTTTGTCGTTAGCAGTGTGATTCTAGTTCCCTAAGTTTGGACACAGAATGACGCACTAAAACCATACAAAACCATTTCATTCAGGCCCAATTCAGGCCTAGGTAGATCTCAAGTTGGAATAGGCGAATATCACGAACATAGCTTCTTTCAGGACATGTTTGCCCAGGCTGCAGTTTTACAGGTTGGCATATGCAGGCTCTGACAAGTCCCAACAAAATGGCGGACATGCGCCCGCCAGTGATTTGTCTTTAGCATTGTGGGGCTGGAGTTACTTGGACTTGTCTAACGCTCTGGGCTTCAACCAAACTACAAAAACATCGACAAACATGCATGATGTTTGTAGACTGTTGGACTCCCGTCCAAACTTCCGAACTTTGCACTCTCTTTTCAACGAAGCTAGAAATCGCCAACAAAACATTCAGCCATTCAGCTGGCAAACCACCCACAAAACAGGGCCTCCCTGCTCGAATACTTTCGCACATGGAGTCCCGCAAGTGCTCCACCTGGCACGCGCTGCAGTGGCGAACAACCAAACTGGACAATAAACACAGGTTCTACCAATCCACCATAGATCGCCCACTACTAAAAAGTATATACTTGTCATGTTAGGACGCGCAGCTTTGACACAATGTGCCACGTCTTAGAAAGACCTCAGACATGAGCTTGCAAGGGCAAGTTACGCAAAAGTGTGACTTGGTCTTTCAGCAAGTCTTTTGAGGACCAACTGTGTGCTCAACAGCTAGCTCTGGGTGTGCCATGTCTTGGAACGTCTTGGTCAGTGCTCACCTCTTCCGTGATGCAGTCATCCAACTTGTAAATCTGTATGATGGCCTCGGGAAGATGAGGAATATGGCTGCGAAGCTATTGAACGCATCCCTTCCACAGCTGCTATTGAAGGGATGCTTACTATCAAGGTCCGATCTGAAGTATTTACCATGAAGCATTGCACAGACCCTATCGCAAGGCATTCTTCCATGTATATATAGCCATAGCAATTTGCTGTTGGTAGTTTCTGGAACCGCACTTTCAGTGCTGAAACAGGGCAAGTGAGTTCAAAGTGAGGCCTCAAGCAGTAACGATCAACATCTGGACAAAAGCACTGTCTACAACGCTCAACGGTGCTGCTGATGTCAGCCCCTTTGGGATATCGGTGCAAGTCTGCCATCTTTGCAAGAAAACAACAACGGACCCGGACAATCACATCTTCAGAACTTGAACAGGCCGTTGTTGGAACAACTGAAGCCATTTCCTTGAGCGAGTCAGATTCGGGTGGAATGAGTCAATGAAATTCGAACGTCAGTTGTCAGCCATCCCACAAACTCGCATGAATGCAGATTTCCGAGTTTCCCCAGCCCGCATGCATTCCACATCGATGGCTCCCGGAGATGCACGCCTCAAAGCTCAAGATCCAATGGATGTTCTCAGTCAACTGGTGAGTACGAGCCGCCCAAAACTGAGCAACTGAACCAGAATCCCACTCCACAGGGATCTGCCTAAATCCGTTCTTTTACTGTAGCTTACCTACTGTATCTCCTGGCAGAGTCTCATCTGTTTGGACATCTGAAAGGTGATATATGCATCTGCGTGGGAGCCCCTCGCTCACCTTCAGCCAAGAAGGATCAGGCACATGCATCGAAGTGGCCGGAACATCCACCCTCAGTAAACTCCTTCCATGAGTCTCATTTCTAGGAGTTGCTGTAGGCAACTCTCATTTGGAAGGTGTCAGTGTCACCGTATGTTAAAAACATCCCTCAACCATGTCTGGGTCTCTCGCCTTCCTGGGATGCTTGGGAAGGACCACTTCTTCTCCAGCTGCTGCCTGGGAGTTGGTCCAGCCCGATCTAGCCACGTCTGCAAAGAACGTACCACTGCACATCAAATTACTCGTTGCTTTTACCGCCATCTCCATGTTGGGGAGGATGACCAGGCCAAAGATTCCGGATTGGAAGAGCGTTAATTCGGTACTCATTGTCTGACCCAACCACAGCTTGCTTGAGTCATCGCCTGAGTCGGCGCTGCCGCCTCAAGGCCACTGCATGGGGATCCTGCGGCACTGTCGCAGGAATTGCCAGTCTGACAGGAGCACAAACGGAGAACACAACAGCAAAACACAATCAAAAACATGTTCAAATTGGATTACACATTGGACCAACATGTTCGTTCAACCAACACTCCGCTTGATTTGGGTTCGATTGCTCAGCTGGAATTCGGGTTCATCAGATCTGATTTGGAGCCTTCACCCGGTCACTCCAGTGAACAGCTTTGGTCCTCCGCTTCTCGCCCAGGGATCTCCTCATCATCACTGCTATCGATGACTCCTCAAAAAGCCAAGCGGTAAACTCGATTGTACGCCCAAACATCATATGAGAGCTTTGGTTATCACACGGCAGCAGGGAGGATAAGGTTTGTGTATGTCTGGAACACACAGAAGGACCTCCAAGCTGTAGAATGGCTGGGGTGTCATTGACTTACGTTAAAAGGCAAGCTTTGGGTGCAATACATGTGACCGACTCCACCTGCGACAATAAAAGCAACTATATAAACTATTCAACGTCTAAAATCCTCCACTTCCTTTGACTTGACCTCTTCGTGCTCAAACAGTATTCATCCCACCGGTCACGGCTGAGCAATGCAAAATAGGCCCAGTGCACCTTCAATTGCCAAGTCTGCATTTTCAGGTGCCAGCTGCTTCTGTCTTTGGACCTGCCCACTGAATGCAGGGAGAGGCCACATCACCTGATGTATTACTGTATATCTAAAGTCTAAGTATTGGTTAAATTAAGGACAGAGGCCAATGGCAAGAACTCTACAAAGACCTGAACACAACAAATTCTAAAACAAATAAACAAACGCCCTGGCACCAGCACAAATCAGCATGGTTATGACATGTTATGACCCCAGTCGCCCTTGATTACCCTCACTGCACGACAATCGCTGAACATGAGACAAGACTAGAAGGTGGCTTAAGCTACTGGCTTTACATATTACTTCAGGTTCTATCCAATGCTGCTGCGCTGCGCCTGGTTTGCCAAAGTGTTTGGTGCTTTGTACCAGCCAAGGCTCTTTCCTTGATAGTGGTCTGATCCAATGGATGTCGAGACTGGGGTTCAGCCCGGATGTTCATGCCCCTGTACATGCGGCAGCGACACCTGAATCTCCATGATGTAGTCGAGCATCTTCTGGCGCACCTCCTGTGAGCAAACCACGATTATGACCTTGCGGACCGATCACATTGTGATCACACCACTGCAAATTACGCGGCACACGTCTTGAGAAAATCTCACGGGATCACAAGTTCACATTCTACAGCTAACAAGGAAACAGTAGTCTTTATTTATATATCTAATTTCACATCTACATGATATCTACATGGGTGTGCTTTCAACGAGGAAAACTACCCACCACCAGGTGCTTATCAATTTGTCCTAACAATTGATTGGATAGTCTCTCGACCCACCCTTTCTCTCTCTCTCTCTCTTTCTCTTGTTTGGTATGGTACATGGGAATCTTGGCAGGCCAAAATACATAAATAGGCCAAGCTTGTGGCCAGTCACCAACATGGTACCGGTCAGTAACATTGCCAGGACATTGGCACCTGCAAAACAACCGCTTGTGATGTAAATGTACAACTGGGCCCCTGACTTCATGACTCTCTTCTGGTGCAAAACTCTTCAACCATGACCAAAGTCATCGAGACTTCATGAATATTTACAACCATCGGGCTGTATGAACGGGAGGCCTTCTTGTTCTTTGCTGTAACAAACAACATGTGATGCAAACCTGGTTCTCCCAAAAACAATATGAGAAACACACATCTTTTCCATTTTCACGGATATGGCTTGCCAGAAGATGAAACGCCAACTGGTCCTTCTGGATGTTGCAAATAGCACCTTTCTTGTAGTAGATCTCTATCTATCCAATGGATGCCTCTAGTAATGTTCTGAAACTCCGGGTGGTTCTTCTGCTTCTGAATCTCGCGCAGTTGAAACTGCAGGACGCTATTCTGCTTCTGAATCTCCCGCATTGCCACGCTTTTCGCAGTGTATTCCCTTTTGAGCTCTGAAATCTCACTCTGATGCTGCAACTTTTCCTTTCGATATTCTTGTAGCTGGCTTTTCAGCTGCGAAATGTGTTCCTTTTGTAGATCTCTATCCATTTGAAAGCACTGCAAGTCAGTACTTTGCGACAGGTTGTCGTGTTGATAATTGTCAACTTGCTTCTGCAGCTCTGCGCATTTCTTGGACACCTTCTGAAACTCAATCTCTTTCTCCTCTAGCTGCTCCTTAATGTACTTGCACTCACTGGCCTTTTTCTTCATTTCGGCATTGGTATTTTCGAGCTTTTGATTAACCTCGCTGAGCTTTCCTTTATATATCTTCAAAAGCTCAACCAATTTCAGATGAGCCGCGGATTGACTCGATTGACCCACTTCCAAAGAACGCAGCTTGAAATCTAAATCTTGACACTGACTTTGAAGTTCTTCTTTCTCCGTTGTCAATCTTACAATTTGTTCTTCGAATCTTCTCAGCTTCTCCTTTTCCACTTCGTATTTAGTCTTAAAATGGTCACGGTCTTGAGATACCCGAAGAACAGTGGCCTGCATCTCCTTCAACTCCTGTGTCAGCCCTGCAAAACGGTAGTTTTGGAAGACATTGGGTTCGGAAGCAAAACACGGCAAATTGCCCATGAATTGAAGGTCCTGCATCACGCCCCGACGGCCCAACCTCTTAAGTGTTGTTTGTGTCGTGCTCCATAAGGATTGCAATTCGTCACACGCCTGCACGGACATGAGGAAGGCGAGTGTGAAAAGACCGCTGTGAGAACCGTCCGGATTCAAATACTCCTGAGCTTGCCTGCTGCGGCCGCAGGCAAAAAGCAACAAATACTTTCTGTTGGCCAGTGTGCCCCTTTGAACGATTGGATCAGAAACCGGCTGTCCATCTGTACGGCAGCCATCAAAGAGGACGATCAGTTTGGCCTCCTTGTGCGCACGTTCGCACAATTGCTCCAAAATCACCAGCAGGCTCACTTTTGCACAATCCTTCGAGCAGTCTTTGCTGCAAGGAATCCGTGCACAATTCTCACACTTCAAGCAGTCATGGTGTTCACTGCACGGTGGCTTTGCACATTCCTTTGAACAGTCATGGTTTTCACTGCAAGGTATTAACCAAATTTGCCCTTGCTTGTCTTCAGCATGGCCACTGTAATGGAAGGTCACCACAGATGTTGCCTTCGTGATCCCAAGGCTTGCTTGTAGGGCGTGATGTCGGAAAAGCTCTGGGGTGCGAAGATCTTGGGCGGCAAACACAAGCCAGCCAGCGGACTGACACTGATCGCGCATGCACCGTGAGTCATTGACTGCCCCCTTCAATGGTTGCAAAGGACAAGTTTGCTGCTGGCATGGGTGGTAATTGTCATTGCCAATTGTAAGGAGCACACGATCATACAAGCCACGGGTGGCAAATGCCATGGGACTGCCATGGGTGGTGTGAAAGAGAAAATAGTGCCTTTGTGCTCAACTTTTTGCATTTCATTGTTCTAATGTTTTCTCCACTTGCTACCGTTTACACAACCTACGGTGTCCTGCTGAACCCTGAGAATGTCAATGCTTCTTCAGAGTCCTTCCTTCAAAGAGCCATGTTGAGCCATCAAATGGAAGCAGCCTAAGCCCAAGCTCATGCACCATTACGCAAAATATGCATGCAAGTCGCTGTAGTACTGTGGACAAGAACAAAGAAACACCGGTGCAATAAGGCTGCGTGATCCACGGCAAAACCTGTTTTGTTGGATTCTCACATCAGGAAAGGAACGTTTGGCCATTGATGTACTGCAAATAGTATCAGTATACAGCTCAGAACTCCGCCCCTTCGGATTCCCTCCACTTGACAAACCCCTCCTTGAACCAAGTGGTCTTGATCCATCTTCGCAGCTCCTCTCAGCTGGTATGAAAACCAGGAAGTCCCACAATCCACAAGAGCTCTCCCCAGTCAGAAAGAACAACATCAAGCGTTCGAGGCATCAAAGTTGTACATGGAATAGAAAGGCGTCTGACAATCTTGATACTCGTCAAGGGGACACACGGGCAATCAGTTTATAACACTAAGGTTGTACTACTGTACTACAGCACGCTGACTATTCTGCTGGGATGTTGTGTTTCCCAGAATATGACTGGAATGATAGGCTCCAAGTTCTGCAAGGGTGGTTGTTTCCATTGTGGGAGGGTGTATTTACAAAGGCCTCTGCTCAAAAGGGTCCACCCTTCGACATCTCTTGATCCACAAACAGGGCACCGCGGCGCACCATGGTTCCATTTGCTTAATCATTCATAACACATCATAACACATGAACACATGCTACCGTTGAAGGAAGAGACCCGCCAGCCAGTTGGTGGGAGGAGCGGGGACACAAATGCCATGGTTTCTTTGTGCGTTACTTTTGGGCGTTACTAGGGTGCCAATTCTTTTCCATCAGCAGTCAGCAGTAGTCGGAGACAGTGGGAGTGCCTGCAACCGCTGAAGATTCTGAAGATTGTGGCTGGCGGTCCTCCAGACAATTAGCCACATGCTGGTCCTGCTTCTCTGCACTCTCTGCAGTCTCCTCCTGGATCGGCGCGTCGAGGGCGAAATCGCACTATTCCAGGCAAACCTCTGACAGTGGCGTTCAGGGCCCCGTGTTTGCCCAGACTGATTATCCACTTTCCTTATCAAACAATGGTTTCAATGGTTTGTTTTTTGTTTTGAGTCTCGTGGGTCAAAAACACCCATATGTCTACAGCTGAGGAACCATTGGCGCTGAAACACCGCCGAGAGACAGGTATCTGGAAAGAGGTATTTGTTGGTTCTCTTCGGATTTCCAGCCATATGCCATACTTTTACACACTACATTATCGATTAATACTTATTTCTGAAGGGTCGATCATGCAAAACGTGTGACATGAACCCCAAAACAACCAATGATGCCAATTCTTTGACCTTTACGGGACGTAGTATTGTTTTGTTCAAGATGTCAAATTAAGCTTACCGAGAAAAAAAATAATGTATCTAGGGCTTCCATTTGATAACTCACCCAACAGCTAAGCCCATGCAATCAGGTCGATCTCCTGTGGCATGGCGTCTGCCTCCGGCATCTCCTCGTCCCTGGCCGCATGGGATAGTCGTGTTGCATCTATTCTTATTCTTTTTTCATCCATTGCGACCGGATCCCAGGAGAGTTTCTCTCAGCCAGCCAGCCAGCCAGCCCAGGAAAGACAAAGGGCAAAGCGAGTACGTCCAACAACATCAATGGAAGCCAGAATGAGCGATTGCTCGGATGTCCTGTGGGATTCGCATTGCATGCTAGCCAAAAGCTGATTTAATCGGCCAAGCCCTCTCACTGCAAACACAGTTGACAAACAAACTATGTACCAAGCCTCTCATCATCGCAAAGGTCCTGAACATGTGAACACACCTTCACGTGAACACGTGAACACACCACTCTTGATACATATATATATATATATAATATATATAATTTTATATACAGTACACATATGATATATATATAATTTTATATACAGTACACACATATATATAATATATATATATACACATTTTTTTATCACAGAAATCACACAGCTTTTGATGAAGGTGCACAGCCTAGAGTTGGAATTGTGCACGATGACCTGACAAACTTTCTTTGAGCAAAGCCGCTGCTCTATTGCAATATATGAGTGAGAAGCCCTGCCACCCTGTTCATCTCCTCCTTTTCCTGGCCCTCATCAACCTCCATGGCTCCCATCGGAGCACGCTCTGGGTTCTCCTGCCCAGTCGCGAGCACATCAAGGGTGAAGGCTATGACAAGAATGCACGTCAAGTGCGCATGAGGAACTTGCATTGGCCAGGATCAAATGTATCAACCACCCCGCTGAGCAAGAGGGTTGAGGGTCTACAGGGCCTACAGGACCCATTCAATATTCAGGATAAATTTGAAAAACAATCAATATAAATACCTGGGACGTCCGCCCTGCCTTTGCCTCCTCGTACAGGCCGAAGCGCTGACCCAGCCACTTTTGAGGCCTCGAGGGATGGGATTAAAGGAGCCATGATTGAAACTAACGAGAGTCACGAGAGTCACACGCAAATAATCCAAGTTAAACTGAGTGTCCCCTTGGGAACAACCACTGCAACATTCTGACTTCGCAAGAATTCTGTGTTTTGGAACCCTTGTCGTGTCTTGAGCACCGTGACAGCCCGCCACAATCGAATCTCTCCACGAACTCTGGTTCCCGGCTCGTAGAGCAGATTGGAGGCGAAGAATTCGATGTCTCCCTGCACCTCAAGATTCCCCAGCGCTCCCCTACAACAAGGATGATCTTGTCTAGATATTTCAAATCTTTCAACATGAATTAGGGAACTCGGTTTCCACCAGCAAGAAGGCTCCAGGGGACCGTAGACTTACCAACCAGCATTACAACAGGGAAAGCGCCGGAGACTAGGAGCGGGGACCACAGGACGACTTTAGTCAATTTGTCCTTGACCACAAAGGTCTGTCTGTATGTTCCTGCGCACTCAGATTTCAGTAGAGAACATCTGTATCCCACTTCCTCATCATCACTAAACATCACAGTATTATCAGAATCAATATGTCTCCAAATAGAGGCATGCATCACTTTGCCCAATAATAGGGGGTGAAAACACCCTGCTTCAAGGTTCGCTCATTCTCTCAAAGTAAGAACGAGTTCATTTGATTGGTATCCTCGATCTAACCCATCCGAACTACTTGGAGCAAAAGCATTGTCATCGGGTCTCGAGGAAGCTCAGCAGCTTCACAGAAAAGGGCCTCTTACCTCCTCTTGAACAAGCAAGCGGCTGCAGGTGGCAAATATTCTGCCAGCTTCCAATTGCGGCTCACGGATGGATCAGCCTGCCAGGGATGGGAAGAGCATAGCATAGGTGGCAGCGTTCTGAAGTGCATTTGGTTTCGTCTGATACCACCCTAGGGCTCCAAGGGTGTGGAAGATGAGGAAAAGCGAGGAAGCTCCTCTACCAGAGTGATTGTAATTCAATTCAAGGGGTTGCTTGACTGTGTTGTGGTGCATGCTCTGACTGCCATGGGCATTTGCAGATGTTGCGGGCGCGGTAAACTGTGATGGACGACGCCAGATGCAATTGTGTAGTGTAAAGAGTCTTCTCAGTAGGGCCGTAGGATGGTTTGTGAATTTTGGATATGGACACCTGGACATGGCCATAAAGTGGTAAAGTGGAAGTGGGAAGTTGAGTGAGTCGCGTGAGCCAAAGACTGCTGGACCCAAAGGTAGAAGATAGAAGGTGGTGATGCAATGTTAGAAGCTTTCCAAGCTTGTGTGGAACTCATGTTCTGCAAGGGGCAAACCTTTAGACGTGACCTTTCTCAAACCCAGGAACTTTTGGATGCTGGATGTGAGCATGTACACAACAAGAGTCGTAGATTGTAGATCTAGTCAACGATGGTTAACCCTTTCACAAGATCCAGTCTGCAAACCCAAAGAGTTCGCTTTCCGCCTCCCAGGAGATTTCACCGGTGTCGATCTCGATAGGAATCCCCGCCCAGTCCTGGTGTGAGGAAATGCAGGTTTGAGGATCATCATGAATCATGACTTGGTACATCCACGAAGATCAGCGTGGAATCGAATCTCCAAAACATAGTGAAAAGAGTCTTTCAAGGGTTCAACTTTATACCTCAAGGGTTCAAATGTTATAATTACTCAGGGTCAGTGGTTTCTGCAAATGGGCAAAGACTTCTACGTGCAGCAGCGGAGCACACACAAGTGGATTGAAGTTTCACTCATCATGGTTCTTTATATATACTCCCATGCAGAAGTTGCGAGACCACTTACGAGGACGGGGCAAGGAAAGAGACAGGTCCTGCAGGGCGGCTATACAAGTGCTTTTCATTGTTAAGAAATGTTAAGAAGATTTCAGATCCAAGCCATGTGCCTCATACTCTTGTCAATCATTAAGCATGAAAGGAACTCCATATGCAAAATTGAGCTCTTATCACTCTTGCTGTACAGGGAGGGAGCCCCCAACCCTTCCAGATTTCAGGAGCCAATTTCCCCCCCTTTCGGACGGTCCGATGGATCCAACCAAATCATGCCGTAGTACATGGCCGCTTGGGCCTCTTCCTGGCCGATGCTGGTAAGACCCTCCTGGAAAGGAACAATCGGATGGGGCGATGAGGCAGTGTCTCTTGGCCTTCTGCACCCACAACCAGGTCAACGATAGAATTGCGACTTTTGGCTATGTATACCCCCCGCTAGTGAGTGAAAGACTCGCAGCCGCCGACATGAGACGTGGTCCTCATTCCTTCTTCTAAAGGCCGGTGATTCTGCGAGTCAGTATTGGAAACTTCACGAAACAAAGCCAACCTGATTAGTCAGCTCCTTGGGAATTGTTCAGGACAACACTCAAGCCACACCGGATGGCCTCTTTCAAGTTCAACGGCTGCAAAGCCTTTATTGCGTTCATGCTCTGCAGCAAAGCCTCGGACATAGCACTGCACACAGGAGTCACTCCAGAACCCCTCATGATCTCAATCTGGCAAAGGGCGGCTGCTGCCTTCCGCAGCTACTGGCAAACTGGTAAATCAGAAACATTCTTTGAGCTGAGCTGAGCACATTCTGCCGACCTGTTTTCCATTGTTTTCCCAATTGCATTCTTCAACCAAACTTGCCCCGAATCTTGCGGAGGCCCATCCCAGCATCTTGGTAAACAGCCTCAAGCTATTGATCCTGAATCATGAGAATGAATCCTGGTGCAGGCTGCTTGGGAGGTTAAACCCTGGTCAAAAGAATACAACCTCCTACTGCAGGTCTGTTCACACAACCTAAGTGAGTGGATCTTTCTAGATTCCTTTTTCCATGCTCATCCAAGAACTGCTTCTGCTCCCATTCATTGTGCGGCCCACAAGCTTCACCGGGAAGACAACCGCTGTGGCCGCCGGCATCGGTCCGAACGACCAGTGTCCACCGACATCGTCCGGGCCTGGTAGAAGTTGACCACGTCCGGGATTCGCACCTTGAAGGTTTCCATGATCACCTGGCAGGGTCCGATGTCCGACCACGGGGCGGTTTGGTTGATGACATCGACAGAGGCAGAATGGTTAGGGACTGCTTAGGGGGAATGGGTTTTCCGGTGACTCCACACATTTCCCACATGACCCCTCCGGTACAAACAGGAAGAATCGATATCATTACTGAAGTGAATGACAACTTGTTGTGTTCAGGTGGATCATAAGCCTGCGAGGCTTAGGGCAGTTTGTCCAGTCATCTCATGTACCTCGCCAGGGCCACCCATCGATCCTTCTCCCACGAGGTCCAAACACATGGGCATGGCCAGGCCAACCGTTCACTTTTGGAGCGCCGTTTTCAGCTTCTAACGAGGGCAAAAACATCGCCGGTTCCCCACCCACCAGGTTTCGCATGCCTGAGTGGGCGAACGTCGAGCCGTAACCTGAGGGACACCTTTGTTTTTGCAGTGAAAGACTTTGGGGAGGTCCCTGTTTCTCAATGTCCAACGATGTTGACATGGCTTCAAGGCTTAAAGACTGAAGAACGCAGCCTCAAATTCGTCATGGTGTCCCTCATTGACAGTTCCTCCTAGCGATGCGTTCTTGTTCACACCACAAGGAGAGTTAAAGGTGTCTATACAATGCCCCCGAGCTGTGCAAACTCAGCCCAGGTCAGCACAAGGGAGAACTGTACAAATTCTACAATTACAACGCCCATCATCACCTCTGGCACCTAGGCTTTGGACTTCAATGCTCTCATGTAGCGCGGCAAACCGGGAGCCGTCGGAGTGGTGGTTGAGCCTTTGTACGCTGCCTGCGACACCTGCGGCCGCCCAGGCTGACTCTTGGTCACCTGCGTCGGACCCTGCGGCTGTGGCCAAGGGTAACCGCTGCGGCGAGCTGTGCGGTTCGACTGGGCTGCCTTGCCAAAGGCTGAGCATGGAAACACGACAGTCTCATTGCCCAAGGCTTCAACAAATCGATGAACATTGTGTGTGTCTCCGTCTCCAGAGGATTGTATGAAAGGCTTATGAAGGCTTGAAGGCTTTCTTTGTGGTGTTGACAGTATGAGGGGTGCTTGTGGGGCACCTGGAGCAAAAAAAAGTTCTTTCAACCATTTTCAACCAAAATCAACTCCATGCCTTTGCCGCCGAGTCTGCAGGGGCAGCTGTCGCGTTTTTGGCCGGCGCGCCGGCCGCTGCGCTGGCGGGACGTCGACGGACTCCAGTGCCTTCCCATGCCTCGGGCATTGGAGGATCTATCGTTATAGTCTAGTAGCAACGCAATGCAATGGTCTAGTCTAGTGTACATCGTGGTCGGTCTAGTTGATACAGAAAGACCGACCTTGACCTAGAATTGAAATCAATTGCTTTGTCGTTGGCGAAATCCTTGTCCACGTTCCAAAAGCATGTCATCGCTCTTGGATGATCCGTTGATGTCTTGGATGCATCCCTTAAAGCAGTGCCAAGTGCCAATCATCACTTGGACGGCCCGGCGGCTGGCAAGTGGAACAATGGAACAGGATCTATTCTGTGGACACTCTATGTCACATGTTGCATCATAATATTGTGTTCATTGGTTTTCTTTGGGATTCTTCGGGCTTTGATCCATATCAAATCTGCTTTGACCTGAGCTGAGTTGGTTTGACTCTTTCGGCTGAACACCTATGCAAATTCTGCCCGGGCTTTAAAAAATCAGAATTCAAACAGACCTGCGCTGACTACAGGTATTTTGTCCAGCATGAAACTCCCAATACAAAGAATCCCAGTCCTTGACATCCGCAGGAGCAATATTCCTTTCTCTTCCAAGTTCAAACATATCCAGTCAAAGCCTGCCAAGCCCATCCGCTCCCCTCACTGGCCCCCCAAACGGGGCATGCATTCCAACGTACCCCGTTCTGCGGGGAGGATGCACTGTACCCCTTTCTGCGCAGTTCTGCGCCGTGAAACCGCGCCAAGTGGCAGGGAACGCTTCGCCCTTCTGAAGCCGTTGGATTCGACGGACCTTCCCTGTGGTCAAGTTGGTTTGAGTGCCATGGGACTCGCTCTCGAAGTGAACCTCGAAGTCATACCTGGGAGGAGTTTCACACCATACAAATGGCATCTCTTTCTCGAAACACCAAACATGGCCCCTTTTTCAACCTCAGAAACACCCTGAGGCTTAAGACCTTGGGCACTGTTTGAGTCTTAGACTTTGGGGCGATCCCAACTGGTCTTCCTTCACGTTGTCCCCCTTCTGTGCAAAGATGGGGTCCCATTGATCTCCTGTTTGAGACTCCTTGGCTTCCCAGAAATCTTGAAATGCACATAAGGACCCTGAGACGGTGTGGAGCAACTTCTACTCCATATTTCATCATATCACCACAAATAGCTTGTGACGATCTCAAGAGAAAACATGCCCAAAAGAAAGATCATATCCATCCCAGTCATCAGGCAATCACTTTTGGAACCACGACACCTTCCCAAGGTATAGCGCATGGGTTTTGCGGTGCTCCCTTGGAATGGCTCATTGCCCGGGAGCCATGCACTCCAGCCCTTCTCCAGCCTTACTTGCTCTCACCAACAAAACTCCTCGACATTCCTATTTAAATCACTCAATTTCTAAGCAATTGGATTTCTGAGCAAATTGATCGATGCTTTTGACAGATTTTGAAAGACAAAGAAACCTACAAATTGATCAAAAGCTCTACTTGGGACAAGCAGCTCAATTACCCATTGATATTCTCCTTCGTATGTCTTTGTACCAGATGTGGCAAGGTAGTAGCCTGTGGCAGGTGCGGTCTTTTTCGATGGGTAAATGAATCCTGCTGGATGGATCACCATTCTGCCAGTCAAAAGGAGATCGTTTCCTCCAGCAAAAGGAGCTCTTAGGAGCTGCTGGGATTCCGCGATGACGTCATTCCGGGTGAAAAGTAGCACTGTACGTGTTCTCAGAAGCCTAAAGGCATCATTCCGTGAAAAAACCACGCTCTTGGCCGAAACCTCTGCTTGAGCTGGAAAGTATATGGAACTAAGCAATTCAACTAAGCAATTCAAGAGTTTGTGCAAAGAATCAGGAGATAGCAGGATCAACTGGCGACTGTCAGAAGTGGTGCATAGGATGAGTCACTCCAAAGGGACTGCCCCTCCCAAAAAGACCAGAACAGGAAAGGCAACAATGAACACACTCGTCACTCATACATATACTAGCTTAATCTAGCTGATATCAAAGTCTACAGCATATACTAAGGATCTTTATTTGTGTTTAGTTCGGACACAACCATCCCCCAAAAGAACATCACTCATACACAACTCCCCCTAAAAAGTCACACCCTCCTCACCCTCCTCACCCTCACAACTCATACAAGTCACAGGTGGGCAAGTTGCCATCAGCCTTGGTCGCATTCACCGGCGCCGCGCCGGCCGCCTCGGCCGCTTGGGCTCCCTCGGCCGCGTCGCCGTCGCCTCGGCTTGGCGCCGCCGAGGCAGTGCCGTTGTCGGGCTCGGTCTCCACGAGCTGCTCAGCGAAGTGGACGCGATGGGGAGAGTCCATGGCGGTGTTCACGCGGCACGGTGTGGTAAGGCCGGGGGGCAGCGCTTGGATGTGCGACGGCTCATGATGAAGGGGCGGAGGAGAATGGGGAAGAGGAATGAAGGAGTTGACATAGCTCATGGAAATGGGCATGTAGAACAGACTATGAAGGGGGGAAGCCAGGGATCGGCAGGTTTGAGCCTATTTTCTCTTTTACCAGTGGGCTTTGACAAAGCCTTCCGTCAAGCGATTCGATGGTCAGATGTAGCTAGGATATATAGTAGATCAGCAAATGTGGGCTAGTACTTCTGTCCTCCAAGCGGGTATTGTAGTATTGACCAATTGACCAAGTGTTGAGCTTCCAGAAGGGAAGCAATAGTCTTCACTGAGCACATATAAAACACAACAACATCAATGATGTTGGTAATTGTAATCACCATGCCAGCAGAGAATTGCAGCATCTTGACTGCAACGAATGCCCTGCCTTGCTGTAGGATGCGTGGATGATGCTGCATCCGTTCCTCTTTACGGCATCCACCAGAAGCTTCAAGACGCGGTCCATGTACTGATGAACCTGAGCGGCATGACAAATGCTTTTTGCATCCCGTTTGGACCGATGGCAGAATCTGGCACGGAGGGCTCTGACCACTGACCGCAAGGCTAGAATAGAAACGGCAAACCCAAATTACTGGCATCCTTTTGCCAAAATGCCTGAGGTACTTCAGGGGATCAGACAGCAAGACACTGTCCACACTGTCCTGAATGAACAATTGAATTCTGCAGCACCACCCTCAGAAGCATTGGCACAACATGGTTTGCAGGCTTGTCTGGAAGAATATCCAGTGGACCACGTCTATTGAATTATCGTATACGTGAGGATGGAATCCGGAGATCCTTCGGTCAACGTACAAGTACCCCTCAGTCAGTCCCAACAACTCGTGGCCCCAGGGTCCGGGCTCGCCGCAGCAAGGCCGCATCGTAGAGTAAGGAGGTCGGGGAGGCTAACCTGGTAACCCAAACGCTAAGGAGGTCAGCGCTGGTTCCTGGGGATGTGTGTTCGTGGGTGTGGCAAAAGCAGTAGAATCTTCGACAAAAAATCTGTTTGTCCAACTTGGAGGACTAAGACTAAGATGGATTGAACACAGGGAACTGAATGGTGGAGCGAAAAATGACCATGGATGCCCATTACATCCTCCCACGGTAGTAAAAACGTTGACAACATCAACTCAGGATCAGTTGTTTGCCATCACTGACTTTCAGCACTTCCTGCCTATTTGATGTTGTTCAGGGGTGCAAGCAAGCAAAAGGAGCAAGGCGTTACAAAGCCCCTTATTATGCAGTCACCCATGGTCACTACGTAGGTTTATCTTGTGGACGTACCGAATGACTGGATACCTGAGCTCATGACCAACCGTAGAGGCCATCCAACAAGCTCTCCAGGGTCTGCCATTCATCACGAAGCTCCTGCAAACGGTGCTGCGTGGCACGTGCAGCTCTGGGCCTGGACCTCCAAAACCAGCGTGTCTTACCGTCCTAGACCTTTCTTCCTTTTCTTTGTTTCTAATGGCGATGGCCTCCAACCTAATAGAATTCCTACCCCTGCTGGAAGACCCAATCTGGATTGCTGACACATGCTGCCGCAAGAACCAACCTAGCCTGTGATGGATTGCCACGCAAAAATATGCAAAACTCGCTGCTGTGGAACAAAAATCCGGTTCACGGTTCAACGTCTTATCATGTGAGCGGCAGAATTTGAAGGATACACACCATTCATTTGAGGAGGCCCCTTTTTGTTTGGACTACTCTAGGAGGAGCTCAGCCGTTGTCATGCTCACACTCTGACACTATGTGGTTCAGAGTACTTTGGCAGATCACAGGCTCGCTAGCAAGAAATCAATGTCATTCACCAAGGTATCTCCGTGTTTGAGAACCCCTATCTCGTTCATGAGCAAATCCAAATTATCAATTGTGGACAAACACATAGTACATGCTGTATAATACGTTTGTCAAGCCCAAATAAGAGTGGTTGCTCATCTGCCTCACACGTAGAAGAGGGGATGCAACAGCCGATCTTCCGCTTCGACTGCAACCCTTCCTACTTCGAACATTTGTCTCATGCATATTTTTGCAAAGTGTAGGGTAGTGGCCCGTTTCAAAGGCTGAACGGTCTGCGAACATATACCTCGAAAAATATCAAAACAGATCTAAATAGTGTTTTCGTCGGTATTACGGAAGGGGAATTCCTCTAACAGGTCTCTTGATTTGAGACACATACGCGCACACACACAACTTGCCTCCTTGGATTGTACTATCTTCCACACATGTTGGGTTTACGCCTTGACTCTTTCGGTTTCTAACCCTTCCGGTGTCGAGGCGACACCATCAGCTCCTGCAACTTGCGCATCAGCCGGACGTCCTAGGACGTGTTCGGCACAAACGTTCTAAGCCATTCATTCACGTCCTGAATTAGCACTATTACTATTATATAACTCTAAGACTTTCTACGCAATGCCTCAAGCTGTCTAAGGCACATGCGCGTTCACTACCTACTTTGTCTATTTAAAGTCTCTGAGTTGCTGAGAAGAGCAGATTTTTTTCAGACCTCCCTAAGGACCTTTGGCGCATTACAGAATGCACCCCAATCCAACATGCGCTGATGCGCCCGCTTCCCACCATAGGACAAGGCAACCCTGTGAGCAGAACTCTTCCAAATAAGCAGCTGGGTTGTTGGATGTGCAGGAAGCTCACTGGCGTCACAGGGCAGGATACCTAATGATTCTGATTCCACACAACCTATTCTCGTGGGGTTGATTCAAGGTTGTTCAGCCATCCTTTCTTGTGTCCAAGGTTGTTCATCCTTTCTTTGTGGGGTTCTTCAGCCGTCCTTTGTTCAGCACTCCAGTTCACAACTGCCACTGCAGCACCTCGCACTGCTCGGCCAATTGGTTGAAGGCATCCTCGTCAAACGGTCCCTGGCAGCGAGAAGCGCTGCCCCGATACACCATGCAAGCTGTGCATTTCTGGGAAACAAAGGGAAGGAGCTCTCAAAGCACTCTGTTTGCACCACAGCTGAACATCTCCAACAACTGCGGAAATATGGTTATCGCTCTTGAGGGGGCCTATTATCGCATTTGCAGGTTTTAGCCTTTTTCCTGAAATTCAAGACCGCTCTTTTCTAAATTGTAGGAAATTAGTCACGCTTGGCGGTTGCTCATAATTATGGGGTACCTAGGGATTATAGCATTGGACCTTAGATTTGTTGGCAATTTCTACAAATAGCACGTATTTGTCCAGCTTGATAGGACGTTCTCGTCTGACTGACCAGCGGATTGGACGGTCATGACATGGACTTACTTCTTGCAATTTCAGAGATCTGATACAGTACTCGGTCCAACCACCAAGGCAGGTCCGTATGACCCTCTCGTGTCAACATCTTTGGAACTGATTCTGGAGGAGCGACTAGTTGTGAACAAACATAGCAGGAAAAAGGAGCACTAGTCGGCCCCTAGGCTTTGAAGAGTGGACCAAGAGGCGAGTTTCAGGCTGCCAACAAATGTTTCATAGCCTCATGGCTTTTTCAGTTTTCAGCCGGGAGATGTTCTTTTGATTCAACATGCCAAGAATATTTTGTAGATGCTGCACTTCTGCAGACTCCATGTTGGTCCGAATTTCAGCCGAAGGCCTCCAGGGTCACGCCGCCTGAAGTGGGGACTCGGACTTTGGGGTGGGGGAATCATCTATATGAACAAAGACTTGGGGAGATGACATCAAATCAACATCAGCTAATCTTCCTCATCACAGGACTTGGGAGCCCTATATACTGCTGTATTCTGAAAGGATGTTTGTGTCTTAAAGTCGTCGTCTTTGGATGCTTTGGAGTGGCCAGCTTAGTGCGTTGGATGTCCATGGCTGTTTCGCCAAAACGTTGGCTTGGCAGTTAGTTGCGTTGTGCATCAAACCGTTGAGACTTCCCGTGGTGCAACTTGGTAAGCCCGATTTTGATATGCATCTACACCATCCAAAAATACATCCAGAAGCAACCTGAAGATCGAATCCACTGAGAGATCCTACTAGTGTCTGCTCCCTTCTACAGAACTCCATCAAATCAATGTGCGCGAGCTAAATCTATCGCTTTCTGAACAGGATGACAAGCATCAAAGCCTTCTGTTTGCTGCTCCTGAAATGATAATATCCAAATACAATTCTCATGTCCAAAAAGGACCCAAGCAGCCAAAGTCCCCCAACTGTTCGAGTGTTGCTCAACCTCACACCGCATCAAAACCACCCTGGCAAAATAACACAAATTGCACGTTCTGCCCAAAACCGTTCGGGTCTCCCTGCTCTGCTTGGCCCAGTTCTGCCGCAAGGTTTCCATCTCCTTGGCTTTCGCCGCTTGGGCGCTGCAGATCTCCTCACAGGACGTCAGGCAGTGCACATCAGTTGTGCAAATAGGAGGACTTCTTTCCTACGGCCACACACACACTCATGCCAACATCACCGGCTGTGGAGAGTCCATTTAATCGTCCTGCTTGGGTATTTGCCATTGGTGAAGACTTGTAATAGAAGCTACAAAAGGAGGATTACCAGGTATAGATTGCCCTCAGAGGTTACTGCAAAGTATTGACATTGCAACTTCTTTCTGAGGACATAGACGTCAAAACCTGACTTCCACCTTCGTGGCTTGGAACGGATCCAGCGAGAAAGCGAGATCCCCACGTCCACGTCCGGAACAATGACAGCGGGAAAGAACAGCGTGGAACATGTGACAATCCAAGGCTCATGGACCATGGACACAGAGGCGCATGGAACTTGGTGATGTGGTGATGTCTTAAAGCTTCAACTTCAGGAGCCCTCGAAGTAATTTTCAGAACGAGCTAAACGCAAAGAGATAAACACTTGCTCTACCTCTTCGTTATCTCTTTCTGTCATTTTCTATCTGGAAATGGTTCCTTGTCCATTGTTGTCGAATCTTATAGGGTCTTCCGCATCTTCTCATCGCTCTTGAATTGTTGCGCATGTTCATCTGTTTGCTATCCATCCGTGCACCCTCTCAGAGCTTTGATACTGGAACTATAAACTCAGCATCCTTTACTCAGATCCACATTTCTTTGGACGCCCTTTAGACCATTAAGTGCTACGGAATACCCCCCCATGTCAAACTGTGCAAAACCAACCGACTTTGGCCTACTCGGCTTCAGAACCTCAGACCAGTGATTTGGTGGTTGGAGATCTTCAGCGCTAGGGCCGTGTGCTTTTGAATAACCTGACATCCCTGGATTCCACGCCAGGTTGAAGGAGATCCGTTCTGTTTCCAAAATATTGCCATAAGTGGTCTCAGCATGTCTCATGTCATTCCTTTTGTTCGGGCGCCCTTTCGCTTTCGTCCTCTGGAACGCTTCCCACCTCCGTTCGCGTCGTCCGTAATGCTTCGTCCTGCACCATGGAGACCAAGGACTCCAAGTTGGTCACGGAGGCCTCGATGGACGACGCAGGGACACCGGTGGAGACTAATCTCCTCGTGCTCTAAGAGAGGCCAAGTGGGGGGGGGGCTGGTTGAGACAGGGGGCTTTCTGAGGTGGCTTTCAAAAAATTGGTGGTCTTAGTCCTGGTCTTTAACGAATTACTTTGTTTTTCCTTGTGTTCCCGGACGAAGCAGAAGTGGAATGGAACTGCATTTTGCTGGGTCTTCACTGGCGTCCAGAATGCCTTGCAGAGTGAGTGGGGTCAGAAAGCTTCTGTATGAAACTCCCAAAGACAAACGGGGCTGTGTTCCACTTCCATGTTTCTCGTGGTCTTAACACCTCGGGGACCCCTCCTTCCGTAGAACAGGCCAGTTCTGGTGATCACCTTCGCTTCCGTATCGCGCCTCCGAGCTGTGGTCCATGTTCCGCACGGTGCTGTCGGTGCCGACCTGGCCCAGATTGCGACCTCCACTAGGACGGTGGGCCACCGGTGTCTCCGTTTCATGCGCTTCGGCGTCGTTTCATGTGCAAGGGTTGATATGGGATGATTCTGTCCTCCCTTTGGGCTATACAAAAATTGATGGAAGAAAAGAGATCGACCCAAATACTGTGGGGGCAACCTCACTTGAAACATGACAACGAATATGATTCTGGACATTTTCTCTGAAGGGATGAAACCACCCCCCTGAAGCTCTGTCTGAAAACGGCTAGTCACACCAAAGCCAAGAAACTGGAAACGACATAGACAAATATAGAAAAGCTTTGAACATCTTTGAAACATCCACATGTACATACAATATTTCACTCCAATTCCTACAATTGGTAGAGAAGCGAGAAAACAAAAAACACATATAATATCATATTCACGTCGCTTCGCGACGGTAACCGCCCGCACCGCATGGAAGGGGCCAATATTTCCACCGAACATAGCCCCGGAAGTGCCCCCCCCCTCCCCAACGTGGCCGAGCATAGATTCCATGTTTCGAGATAGGGATTTAACATGGCCCAACGTGTCAGGCAATATGAAAGCTATGTTTGGCCACGTTAGGGGGTGTTTTTTATTCCAGTTTACGACGTTCAAGTCCCTATCTCGCAGACACTACCTTTAGATAGTGACTTCTAGGGCTATGTTAGGCTATCTTCACTCTATTCCAGTCCCTTTTGAGCCTTCGTTGGGCCATGTTTACGACGTTCAAGTACCTATCTCGGGGAAGCATACTTGAGATAGTGACTTCTGGGGTTATGTTCGACCATATGGGAGCTATGCTCGTGAGATAATGTTACCGTTCCTGGACCTGATCTGCTTATCTCTGCTCCTGACCAGCCACGTACCCGGACGTTCAAGTCCCTATCTCGCAGACACGTCCGTTAGATAGTGACTTCTAGGGCTATGTTACGCAATATTACGACGTTCAAGTCCCTATCTCGCAGACACGTCCTTTAGATAGTGACTTCTAGGGCTATGTTAGGCAATATCTTCACTCTATTCCAGTCCCTTTTGAGCCTTCGTTGGGCCATGTTTACGACGTTCAAGTACCTGTCTCGGGGAAGCATACTTGAGATAGTGACTTCTGGGGTTATGTTCGACCATATGGGAGCTATGCTCGTGAGATAATGTTACCGTTCCTGGACCTGATCTGCTTATCTCTGCTCCTGACCAGCCACGTACCCGGACGTTCAAGTCCCTATCTCGCAGACACGTCCGTTAGATAGTGGTTACGCAATATGGAAGCTATGTTGAGCCCCGTTAGGGGAACCTGTTCAGCCAAATGTCCAAATGATGCAGATGATGCAAAGCAGAATCTTGCATTTCTTGCATCCCTAAAGCCTTCAAGATACCCAACATTAGCGCGAAAGCACTTTAAGCCGGTTCCAAAAACGTGAAAAAACACAGGATTCTAGAGCAAAAATGCCCCCCCCCCTAGCTAAAGCTATAGTATACTGACGATACTAACGGATGCTCGCGTGCCCTATAAAACGCCTCAGCACCTTCGGTGCGGGCGGATTATACAATTCCCTGTAATGCACACTCTCAAAACACTGCTGCACAGTCAGAAAACACCTCACAAACAATACACCGTTGCTCATTTCGAAAAGAACACCTGCAACGCCATGCCAGCTGTGTCCGGTTGTGCATCCAAACAACGTGTCCGGCGTCTCGTCTAGTCTCGCCGTCCCAAACCAAAGCCGGACGTCCCAGCGTCGCCAAAGACGGTCGCCTTGCGGATCATCTTCCGGCTCAACTCTCCGCCCTCCATGTCGCTGAGGTATCTCAGGCGAGCAAAGGTTGAGAAACTCGCAAGCTCATGTCATGACATGAGCTTCTCAAAGTCAAGCACACAACAATATGGATGTGGCCAGGAGAGAAACGAGTTTTGTAGGTGGGGAATGTGCAATGCATGAACGACACGAAGTCATGAACGTGCGTCACACTAGTAGCGTGACCTTCCAATGAGCATTAGTGAACGACATCAATCACCGAGTGCTGATGAAAATCGTCTTACATGCACACCTGACACAAGGCATTCCAGTATTGTGTCGATTTTGTCTCTACGGCTTCCCATGACATCTCTGGACTGAGTGCCGAATGAAGGCATCAACTTCAGCTTGACGCTTTGATGGTCTTGTCCAGCGACCACCACGTATTAGCGAACCACATAGACCACAATGCACCACGGTTTCCCACCAAAGCCCAGCTCTCCGCCCCAGCTCTGGCCCTTGCAGGGCCTGGCATGCTGAAGAGCACACACGCACAACTTGCTGCGCAAATTCACCTCACGCGGGTCCGATGGGATGGCAACTGCGATGGTCCGTGAGGTATGGGGGAGACACGGGATCTTTGGATCATCACCTTCATCCTTACTCCTATCTTTTCATATTGTGTTTGGTCTTTGACATGGGCAATCTGACTTGCAGCTGGATTACCATCAACACGTTTCTTTCTTCACACAACACCAGCCGCAAACGTGTGGCCACGTCGCATGCAGAACGAGATCGAATCGGCGCATCGCGCCGGTGTCTGGAGCCAGCCTCCAGGCAAATGGTGCGGTAAACGCCCGGCCTGGGGAGAGAAAACGAGGACGTCAGGCTGAAGCGGTGAATGTTCGCCAGAATTGCCGGGGCAAAACTCACAAAAGAAGAGAGCCAGAGAGTGGCATGAGTCATGAGATGTAATTTTCCCAAGTTGCGGACCCGAGTATTCTTGAATGACCCACACCTAGAAGTTGCTAGGGAGCCAAAACCGTGAGACATCCTGATGGTCCTGATGCGGAACTAGCTGAGCCTTGAGATTCGTTCGCCAGGACAATTTGACTTGGTTGTTGCTGCTTTCTACTACAAACTCCCTCAACCTAAAGCTCACGAGATGGCTAGAAATCTTGAAGGATTAGTTGGAAAATCACCAAACAAGTCTCAGAAAGTATAAAACGCTAGCCGCTATAAACAAGTACCAATTTTACCGCAGCCCTGCAAACACATGCACCCACAAACATTCGTAATTCCACAAAAGTCATAGAGCAAGTGGAGTCCAGGAAGGGAGTCGGTCGCTGGCTTTAACAGCGGAAACCTTTAGATTATTCTCGAAAATGGAGGAATCTCCTGGAAGATATCTCTGTGAGGATCATTTTGGAGGCGCGATACAAAAGGCCTAGAACCTAGGCGGCCTAGAGTGACAATTAAGCCTCTGAAAGCGACAAGCAACTCTTAACCAAGGCTCCCCTTCACTATTCTGTTAAGGTTGGAGGCTCTACACATGTTGGACCGCACATCCAAATGGCTTGGCTTTATGGATGTTCACCTCGTTCCTCCCTCGGTCACCGTTGCACCGCTGGGAACTCCGGACCGATTGATCTGCCCTCCTCCACGGCCCTCGGCCAAATCCCGGCCCTGGAGGACCCAACGAAGCGCCTGTGCATTTCGCCGAAACGATCATTTCGTTTGGAAGGACTTCCCAGGAGATTGAGGTCTCCGACTGCCTTTTTGGTTTCTTCTCGTTTTGGTCTTCTGGATGTTATATTATGTTATTACAAGTAACATTGTCATGACTGTATGTTTGGAGCGTCCACAGCATAGTGGGCCCCTTTGCGGGAGCACATGAATCATACAAGCTGATTTGAGTTTGCGGAAACACAACACTGTCAAAAACATCTTGCGCTTATCTTCTACTTGAACTGGCATCTCCGTGGTTGCCCTCGGAAGGACAAGTTCAGTTTTCCTGCCAAGAGGCGACTTTCCACGATTGTTGAACACCCGGTGTTTGGATCGGATGCCCTTAAAGCATTCAAGCCCCATTGCTTTGCTGTGGAGAGGAGGTTGATTGCCGGAGACAAGATGTCACATGGTTCACATGATGTAACTGTTCCTAGAAACAAATCCTTATTGTTCCTTGTCAACCAACCACAGTAGTTTCTTGTAAACTTTAGAGCTTGTCCATCTGACCCACAAGTATCTCTCCACACAGACTCTCTCGGCGGTCTCAGCCTCAACGCTCTCTTCTTGCGCGTCAACCAAAGCTAAGGAGGTCTCCCCCAAGTCTGGCCTCCAAAGCAGCTAAATCAATCTCACAGTCTGAATATGTCTGGATCTTGTTCTAGAGACCTGACCTTGTTCAATCGAGGTGGTGCCCACACTGGTGGCTTTCAGGTTGAATTCAGAAAGAGCAACCAAATGTGCAAATCCATGCTTCCTTCAACCCGCACATGCGCACGCGCTAGGTTTGGCTGGCCTGCAAGCGGGGCTTGCCCAGCGGATTTGGGAATCCTGGAGGCGTCCAATCCGAGAAACTATCAAAGGCTTCATTCAAGGTCATCTCTCTCTCTCTCTCGCTCTGTCTCTATTAGGTTGGAGGCCATCGCTACTAATTAGGGTGGAGGCCATCGCAAGTAGTTTGGAGGCCATCTCTATTAGGCTCTCTCTTTCTCTCTCTCTCTCTCACCTTTGCCCATGCCCAGAACTGGCAGCATCTCGGGGAAACCTGCACTGAGGGCTGCTGTATTTCTGTTTGAATCAGAAAGTCCACTGACAACATCCCACTTCGCACCGTCTGGGCTGTTGCACGTGGGTCCTTTAGGAGTTGCCGCGAGTACATCACATCCAGCGAGCTCTGTGCAAAGGCCGGTGTGGTCTCTGGGCCGTTGCACACCGGGACGCCTCCACAGCGCACTATGCGCACTGCTCTAGTGCTCTGGTTGAGGCAAAGGATATGCTTGATCCTAAATGATGAGCAAAGTGATATACAAATATATATACAGGTGGAATCGACGAAGGAATCTTACGAGATTCGCTGAAGTGGGCAAGAACATCAGAACCACTTGTCACGGGTCCAGTTTGAGGCTATCGATGGTTACCCGTGTTCCCAACATAGGTTGGAATCTTAGTATGTACCCATGCATGTCCTTGAAACAACTTGACACATTGTCATTCATGCTCTGGGAAGTCCTTTGCGCATTCAGTTTGACATGAATATATAGCCAAACACCATGCGACTCTCTCCCTTGCCTGCTGCGCGGCACAAGCTCACTCGTTCTCTCCACCAATCCGCCAATTTTGGAAGCAACTGCGCGGGGCGGTCCAGATGAGACAAATCGAAGACTTGTCAGTGTGCCAGCAGCCCCCAGTGGTTCAAGAGAGTGTCTTTTAGTCTCGAGATGCTATGAGGACAAACTCGATTTAAACCTCAGGACTTGAAGGCTAAAGAGGTCAGCAGCGAATATCAGTGAATTTGCAAACCCTGAAGACATGCCGCAGCTCGCCATCTTTCCTCAATGCAGCTCGCGTCAAGGCGGTCTCACGTGGCATGAGATCCCAGGGATCCTTGGTACGTACCCGTCAAGCAAAGTCAAGAAGGACATGCCTGGGGATATGGTCCTCTATCGGGTCCATGCAACCCGTTGGTAGTGCTGGAGAGTATAACAGGCGGACCCATCCAAGTAACCTATATCCTATGTCCTATAGCTGACACACGCAAGAACCATGAAAACTAGCCCAACAAAACACCCCAGTCCAAGCATGCACCTTTTGAGTCCAACCATCTTCAGCCCAGGGCTCCGTGGAGTAGCCCAAATGCTCGAAATCCCAGCCATAGCGCTCCAGCATCAGCGGCTTTAGGCCGCGCCACATCTTCCGCCACCTCATCCGATCCTTCACTAAGTTCTTCGCCTCAGGTGCTCGGAAGACCTGAACGGAAGGACATCCGTTTCAACAAGGGCCTTATAATGAACTTCATAAGTCTTTACTTTATATATTATGTATAACTCATATACTGCATGTTTGGGTCTCAGGATGTGGATCTTTTTCAATGCTCTGCAATTGTAGGAGTTACATGGAGTATCATAGAGTTAAACTTGGAGTTATTTGGATCTCCAAAACCAGGTGATCGGCCCTGTTGCACCTGGTGATTGCCGAGAGTGTTTGGTCCATGTATGCGGAGGATGCTCTACAGAGCCTGGTGGTTCCTGTGGTGAACACTGCCGCAATTCTCGAATCATGGTCATCCACCACGTCATACCACGTCCAAGTATATAAGCTCGGCTCTTGGGCCCCACAATTAATATTATATACATGCCATGACATTTACAAAACTATAATTCATATAGACCTCCAGCCCTAGTGCACCATTCCAGTTCGGTTCAGCCACATTGGAGTGGTGAAATCCACTGCTGGGGAAGGGCGGGAAGCTGCGGCAGAAGCTGAAGGACTGGCATAAGCTCTGCTGAAGCTGTTCCAGATCCTTGGCCTTGGTGGACATGTGAAACGAGTGGTTTTCTGATGTTTTCGGCGAAGATCTCCTTCCGCTTGGTTCACTGTGGGAAGCTGGGGCCACTGTCATGTTTCTTTTGACTGGCACTGACAGATGGCACTGATGACGCTCAAAACACATGTAAGAACCCATGACAATGTCAACAGGTAGAAGAAATCACCTTCCTTATGTCACTTAAACATCTTATAATATCTTATAATATCTTATATAGGGACAATGGTGCAGTGGATGCCGAAGGAATCATGCGGGGTTGTGATTCCACTTTCAGGTGCACACGATTTTGCCGCTTTGGGTGGTTTTCAACTTTCAACAGTCCAGCGTCCGCCAAAAACGAACACAGCGCACATCTTCGGAAACACCAAGTGGCGAGGGTTTCGAGGTGTATGATATTGAATCGCCGATGGGAGCGTCCAGGCACCACCCGATCATCATCCAACATTTCCTTCACCGAACGCGTGTGCAGCACATCATCCGAGTTGAGCTCACCCCTGCCGCGACAGGCCTTGAAGCCATCAGTGAAACGGCTCACGTTCCTCAGAACGATGAAAGGTCTCGCAGTCCTATTGAGAAAGTACACGCAAGAATCTATGGAAATCATTGTGCTCAAGCCTGGAATCTTGACATACCTTTGTATGCACATCATGGGATATCCAAGTCTTCATAAACACAAACATCATATCCGCCTCAAGTTTGCCAGCCTTGGTGGAAGAGCATTTTGTTAGGGAAAAACTATGTGTATACTATGTGTATAAATAAATAGTTTTGGAAACAACAACATCTATATCAGTTAGAGCCGAGTAAATGTCCACACTTGGCAAACCATGCCAAAAGTTTCAATCAATAAATAATATATAGTGAGTGGCAAACAAGCCCAGGGGGTTCCATGATGATTTGGCTTGATCTGGGTCACAAGCAGGTGGCTCCACACTTAAAGAAACGCTTTTCGATGACTCACTTTGAAAAAGCTTCCGTCAGTTCTATTGCCCCCTGCCAACGGTTCCACCATGTTCAACATGTTCCGCCTCTGAGCTGCTGGAGATGTCGAAGCCAAATCGGAAACATGGACCAGTCCCCAAAGAACCTCGTGGGAGCAATCCAGCGTTTGAAGTACGATGCGATCCGCCTTAGCTCAGCGGAGCTGGACTGGATCAACGCCCCGAAAAGGAATCACATGGACTTGCGGTGATGCTAACCTGCAAGGTTTGGCGGCGTTCGGGGGGTCCACATTTTGACCTACTAGACCTACACCCAAATAGTCTTTTCTGGCCATCAGAAAGCTCAAGTGTTGGACCCTGTTTGGAACGATTTGAGAAAATGCCTATCTCTCAAGACTCAAGACTGACTTCAAACGATGGCCATGACATGCCGTGACCAACCACTGACAAGACATCCGAACACAACCCCCCTTGACATCTGCCAAGCTAAGGATCATGTAGGGATTTCTGGCTAAAATCACCATCAGCCTCCCGTAGCCCTGCATGCAGCACTGCTGGCACAGGAAAGGTGGGGCCACCAGCCAGCCAGTACCTCGCTGCATCTGATGGTCAAAACGACGAGTAGAACGTAGATATCTTAATCCAACAAAATGCAACAGCCCTAGACACTTCTCTGTCCACATCACCCAATGAATCTGTCACAAATACAAATCACGTCTTATCAAGGCCCTGCATGGCCCTGCCCTTCCTGCAGCTCGGTGACCCAAGGTCTGATGCCACCGAAGTCCATATGAAGCCAGTCCATTGGCCTGTTCAAAGGGGCAGGACATTTCTCCATCGATAGCTAGGCCAGTGAAACTTGTACGGCCAAAAGGAGCTTGCAGGTGGAACATTCACCTTGCCACACATGCAGCTTGCATTCCTTGCTTGGAGTGATTGTGGCAATCCTAGCTGTGCATCAGCCAAGCAGCCTTTTGGCGAGTGCAGCCGAAGGATTTCAAGTTCAAGCCTGGAAGCTTTGAGGAATAGTTGGCGAAGGGATGGTAGAAAGCCTTCGCCTCAGCGAAAGACAGACTCGTCTGGGTGGACCTGATTGGGCTGACATTGATGTTTGCTTTACCTTTTTCAGGGATTCTGTTGTGATCCGAATCGATCCCCCTTTGAACTTGTGATAAACAGTAGCCATCGCACATTGCCAAATTGACCCAGGAATGCTATATAGTGAAGTTATATCTCCTGCCAACCATGAACGGCCTCAACTGCCATCAATCCTCCAACTCTACAAAGACTCTACAATGAAATACACATGAATTGTTTTCCCCCAAAACACACAGTCCCAGCATTGCCTTTCATGGCCTTAAACGCATTCCGAATATATAGCCACGTGCATGTGGCATCTCCAAGTGGCCAAGCATCGCGCCACCCGGCGCTCACGCCCTGCGCCCAGCTCCAAGCACGAGCGCGCGGAGAGCGCAGCGGTCAAGTGACCCTCCGTGCGGCCCTCGAGCTGCGCCAACCAAAGGATGAAGGAGCTGGAGGCCGCTTTGGGCACGGCCAGAATGGCTATGGGCACCTGGTGCTGGAAAGTAGATCTAAAGTGTTACTGTATAGTTGGGTAAGATTTTTATCAACCTGTCCCGCATGCACGTAGAAGAAGTGTCATCTTCAGTGATTCATATCGATTCATTGACTTAGAATTCTCGTTTCGCACATTGGGTCAGGTCGGGAGTCTCTCCAGTCTTTGCTTTAGTTTAGTGGACTGATCCTGGCTGCGAACGAATGGATTAGATGAGACACCATCACATAAATATTGTTGCTGTCCAAACACTCATATTTAAAATTCACAACCTGCTTTGGCATGCTAGTAGGTAGTCGCAGGCTTTTAGACTAAACACCAAAAATGTCTTGCACACCGCTGAAATCCTAGTCATGAAAGCAAGTCGCTATCTGTGGCAAATTCCCCATATTCATCCATATTCTGATGTTCCCACGCACCTACAGTAGATCTACTTTCCCACAACCTTGTCAAGCAAAGCTGGATGCCAGCAGGCTGTTCACGACTTTTTTGACAGTGGAGGTCACAGAGATCTGGTGAGGGCACGGCAGGGCTAACCTCTTTTGACTTTCTGGGGGCTGTGCTAACCTCACCAAGTGTGCAAAAATGGCTGCTGCTAATCTAGCCACTTTGGCCACGGGCTGAATACTCCAAGTCCCTCATACCGATCCCACCGCCTATGCCAAGCCACGGTACTGGGACAGTCCAGCATTGGTGGAGGGTGTTGAAAGACGTTGCCCTGCTGTAGCTGGGTGTAGAAAGATTCCTGAGAGTAAAGTTTGAACCGGCCAGCGACTCCCATTTTACCTTACTGCTCCTGCAACCTAAGAAAAGGTTCTCCATGTCCCATTCTTCCAGCATTTCAAGTGATTCAACTGTTCATCTACCAGTATGTAGTCAATTCAATCCAGGATTCAGTGTGACAGTTGTGCCAGGAGGGCGTGCCAACTGCAGCCTTGAGCTTTTTCCTCAGAGCACCAGGTGAGATCATGTCATGTCCCTCGATCGTGGGTCGCCTGTTTGGACTCGATGGTTCGTATGTCTGACAAAGAGTGACAGTCCGAGGGATGGTCGGCAACCTGGATTCAATACCCGGGTGCAACACTAGGTGTGCCACCCCCAGCCCTGCCTATGAGCTAGCAGCTAGGGCGTGGACCGTAACAAACCGCAACACAACACAAGTAGTGACAGTCTTCCCAATCAAGTGCTTTAGTGAAACTGGCTGAGACCTGAGGATTGCAAATCCCGCTTGTGTGCATGGTGAGTTGAACATAACGCCTGGCCAGATGTGAAGGTCTCCAAATCAGTAGTTGGTAGTAGCCGTAGCTTCTTGTTCCTAGTAGCGATGCCCTTGTTACTAGTAGCGATGCCCTTGTTACTAGTAGTAATGGCCTCCAACCTGAGATAGCGACGGTCTCCACCTAGTAGCGTCCTTGTTACTAGTAGCAACAGGTGATAAACTGATTCCGAACTTCTAAGCTTTGACCTCGACGCATCGAACTCCGATTCAATCGAAGGCTCCCTTGTAGAGCCATCCAGGAGACACAAAAGCCAGAGCCCAAAGAATAAGTCTCGCAGCCCTCCTCGACTGGATTGGGCTCAGTGCTTCGAATCCTGGATTTTTAAGAGACCACGTGAAGGAGCTATGAGATCCCTGATCTTCATCCATTCTTCAAAATGGTAGCCTCAACCCTTGGAAAACCTCTGGCATGCTTGGCTCCCACTTGTGCGTGTGTCAAAGCGCTCCTTCAACCGCAATCAACCGCACTAGCATGCTCCCATTTCCTGGCAATTGGGGGCTTCACTAACTTCACTCTCCTCTCCTCCCGAATCTCCTTCTCACAGACCATCATCTCCGGCAGCTTCCCTAGCCCGAACTGTGCGCCCTCGGACTGCGCACCTGTGGGCTGCGTGCACAAGCGCCTCGCCCAGTCAGAGGATACCAGCGGAAGGCCCAGCGGAGCTACTGGGAGAAGCGCTAGCACCCGGATCATGGGTGATGCCCACAATGCACCGTCAGCACAGTCGGTCACCAGGGATCAAGCTACATCCATGTCATTCCATCTCGCGGTGGATCCATGCAAGGTCGAATTAAAGCTCCAAGGATTGCGGTCGTGTTATCCCTACTAGGAGCAAAGAAGCTACTAGGGGCTCCTGGCCGTACTACTAGGAGCAAGGACGCTACTAGGAGCAAAGGGCATCGCTACTAGGGGCAAGGACGCTCATCCAAGGTCGAATTAAAGCTGCAAGGATTGCGGTCGTGATCAGCAATTCTCTGTGGACCTGCAGGGATCAAGTTATCACCAACGACCCAATCTGAGCCCCGAGAGATTGTGTCAAGCACGTGAACCCCATTTTCAATATGTTGACCCAGTACTGCTACGAGTTCTGGGGCCTGGGTTCCTCCTGAAGGCAGTGTGCTGAATGTATACGGACTGTGGACTGTAGGAACGTTGCCTACAACACCTCAGGGCCTCTTTAGGGGATTTGCACATGTGCCATTCATGTCCCGTTTTGTTGTTTTTCAGCCAATCAAAAGAGTATCCACGCCGCAACTGCGCGCAACTCAGTACAAATGATCTTCCTGATTCCTGAGTTAACAAAGCAAATGATAGACAAATTATTCGAGCAGCTAAATACGGCAGCGTGAATGAATGTTGTTCCAACAGCAAAAAGGATATTGTCCCGGGGCACACATGATGGGATGTTCACCCCTTAGTACCCCTAGCCATTTTGAACTGCGCTTCTTTACGATGGACGTCGTCCAACATGTTTTATCGTTGTTCATCTTGCTCATCTCCAAACCAAGAGGAATATAATATAATTATATAAGCACTAGTAGCAAGGACGCTACTAGGGGCTCCTGGCATCGCGACTAGGAGCAAGGACGCTATTAAGCACAGTTCACGGCCCCGTGACTCACAGCATCACCATGATACTCCCTGTGACTGCCCCCCAAAGCCACAGGAACAAAGGGACTGCACCTCTCAGTAGCTGAATGTACAAGCCATAGCATCTGACGACTACTTCATGAACCCAACTCATCCAATTTCCATGTTTCATCGTCCTCCTAAACACAACTTCCAAACGAAGCGTTTCGTTCTTCTCACGAGCCAATCCTTTGCTGTACAGCAGGACTCTTTCCCGAGTCCTTCGTCTCAACCCCCGGATGGCGTCTTTCACGCTCGTTTCGGGTCAGCCGAGTGCTTTCCACGCCCCTAAAACCCTAAAAATTCGTGCCGGGGACTTGGCGAATCATGGAGAATCTATCGTACTTCAACCTCGTTTTGGGTGCCCCTGAGGCCTCTTCAAACAAAATTCGCAGATCAATCATTTGCAGCACATTGTCATTTGGTCGTGCTGTTGAATGCCTGGTGAGACCATTGAATCTGCAAAAAAACACTGAACGCCTAAACGGAAAGCACACCTACATAACTGCCTCTACAACTCTACATGAGATACAGTAAATTATATTGAACAAACTCCTACAAGCAAAGCACCCCCAAAAGAGAATTGAACACACATAACAATCTTATGTATCATTGCTTTAAACTTTGCTGAGACCAGGGGTCGATTTTTGTATCTATATACAGCACAGTACAGCCTTTTCCTCCCTGGGGATTTGGACTTGATCCCAAAGTGGACAAGTCCCAGGCACTCCTGCGGGAAAACAAAAACAACGCAGGCCTGAGAAGCTGCCGAACTCGAGCAAGTCTGGGGCCGAGAATGGCTGCTTCCCAGAAACCTTCAGCTTTGCCTAAACGGTCCAGGCTCAGTGTTCACGAACCTCCGGTGGTTGCCAAGAAGGTGCATCGCTGAAGAACTCAATTTCTGCTGTCCACAGTGCCCTACATTTCCCAGTAACTTCAACTCTTTAAAACCAGCGAACACCAAGTCTTGCGTACCCAATGCTGTTTTGGTTTCTTCGAACATAAGCGTTGGCTTCAATGCAAGTGATAACAGTTCCAGGACAAACAACAACAGAACGAACCATGATTGATATCTACATCGAATCTACTTCCTATGTTATGCTGCTGGACATGTTCT